CCATAAAATTTTATATCCATTTTTTTTAAAACAAAAAAAAAAAAAACGAAAAAAAATGTGCTCATATTACATAATTTATTTACTTATTATTATTTTTTTTTTTTTAACCTCCTCTATGCTTTTATTCGACTCATAATATGTAAACAATACTCTTTATTGCAATGTCTTTTTTATTTTTTATTGCCGTTCGTTTGCTTTGTTATTATTTACATTTATATTATTTTACGCTATTTTGTTTACATATTCTTCGCTATTATTCTAGACTCTCTCAGTCTGTCTCAATCTTTCTTTTCTATTGTACGAAAAATGAAAAAAAAAAGCGCAAGTATGTGACGTGCGCATGCATCTGTGCACGCGCTTACGATAACGATACAAGCGTTAGTGTATTACTTTATGTATAAGTAAGTACATAAGCAATATATCTTGTTTTTTTATGTAATAACGCCAGAATATACTGGTTTCTATCATTTACTTCCTTATTTATTACGCGTTCAAGTTAAATAAATTAGAAAATGAAATAAATAACAGATCAAGGAAAAAGTTCGTGGTGAATTCTTCTAAACAACTACGCGCAACTTTTCGATTAAAACTATGAAATCGTCACCACTGCCGAACTTAGGGGATTTCTAAGTGAAAACATGAGTTAAAGAATTTTCATAGATCTTCCTTGCTGAGATGAGACTTAAAGCCTTCAGATAGTTGTGCCGAGAATGAAAGAAACACGGCACATGGACGGAGCAATTCGGGGACTATACGAACTGTACGGATACATTAAAACTTTCCCACCTAGAATTACCAGACCAGAGACATTTTGCATGTATCTATTTCTACGAATGCATCGATGACATCTCGAAAACTGAACTAGTTGCAAGAAAACTGGTTGAAGAAGATCTTTTCATTCAAACGTAAACCATGCATGCCTTACAACCATTTCGGTTGAAAACTGAAAATTGCAAAGGAAGAAAATCCAATTTTTTTGTCCACCAATTTGTTTGTCTTCGTGATAAAATGTCAAATATTATATACCATGTTTTCATATTAAGATACGCATTTGATGGGAGCTCTTATATGGGCCCAAATACGAAAAAAATTTAAACGCGATCCAGGTTTAATTTTCTTGTTAGAATAATCTTAAAAATTCGGACTATCGTGTCATATAACGATTAAGTTCTCCTTTCACCCTTAATACGGGGGTATGGGAAGAAGGGTATGTCTAAAAAAGGCTTTACCTCGTCCTCATTTAAGTACCGTTGAAATTTATGCCAAACTGCTATTAAGAGCTAATTTTTATCAAAAAATATAAAATGTTGGACCTTTCTGCCATGTAAAGGCTAAGGTTTCATAAGAAGGTTTGTAGAGGAAAGGTATGCAACACATAGGAGGACTTGAAATAAAACCACCTTTTATTATACGGATGCAGAATCACTTTTCGATTCGATCATAATTAACTCGTTTTTGCACAAGGACGAACGCTAGTAAAAATGGTTCGGATCAGATCATCTTTTCATTCATTGATTTGAAAATTTTTTATATAGATAACTGTACCGCGGTGTATATGGATACTTAACGGCGGGCCGTGATTTGCCATAGTGTTTTCACTTGTTCAGAGTACTCACGAACTCAAGAACTTTTGTCGAGAAACTTACAATTTTTATCATAAAACGACTTTTTCAAAATAAGTTTGCATATGTGTAGTGGTCCTTAAAATAGTCGAGCCCAATCTATTTTCAATTCGATTAATTCTTGAAACAAAACTACTCAAAATATATATCAAAAATTGCAATTTATAGGCTAAAGATTAAAAGTTAAAAGCAAGACGGAGGGACAGACAAGATTAAACTGGTTCAGCAAATGCATCTCAATTGATCGATATAATAGAAAGGCTAGATCTATCTTTAGTCCTTCAACTTGTTATATACATCCACATTCACACAAATTGAATATGCCAGGATAGAATAAAATAATTAATTTAATAATTATCTTAAGTTAAGTATACAGTTCAGCAAAAACAACATTCTGTTTTTTTTTTTTTTTCGTTGAAGAAAGAAAGAGAATGAATGCTTACTCTTTTAAAAGGCAAGAGAAAAACGTAAACAAATGAATGAAATGAATAAGTGAAACACAGCTGATTATGATAACTGACATAAAAGAATTTTTACGATCATTAAAATTTACCCAATAATGATAGAATTACAAACAATATAAAAATATTTTTATAATTATTAGTGTATTTTAAGCATATGCTGTTTGTCAAGTTTTCTTATTTTTTTTTAATTTTTGTGTTTTGTGGTTTTTGCATCTCTTCTTCTTCTTCGCCTTGCAAGAAGCTAAAAAACTTAAATAAACAAACAAAATTTAAAGAAGGCAAAAAAGGAAGCACTTAAATGCATTTTAAAAGATGTTTTCTTCATTTGTTATTGTATTGAATTTTAGGTTAACGACAGATGTTATTGACCACAAAACATTTGTTGTTGTTTTTAATAAAATAAAGGAAAAAAAAAGTTGAAAGGGGAAGAACACAACAAACATAAGCAAGATTTCTTTCTTGTTTAATAAAAAAAAAAAATAAAAAAATAAAAATAAATAAAATAAAAAAAACGAAAACAACTGATGACGCTGCCGCTGCTGCTGCTGCTGCTGCTGCTGCTTCTTCTGGTGCTCGTCTATATTATTCATGGCATGACATGGCTGGCATGCATTTGTGTAAACAATGATGTGTTGACGACCTTTAAAAACACGGCTTATACTTTGGAGTTTTAGGCACGTACTACAGTTATAGTCGTTTTTTTTTTTTTTTTAACTTTTGCAAAACCACTTTAAATTAGGTAAGAAAGAAAAAAAAAGAGAAAAACTGTCAGTTAGTTTAATAAGTTAATGTTAAGTACGTGTAAACTCGTTGTTACTTTTCCTTTGCTTTGTCTGCATGCAATTGCAGGCCAATCAACAGCTATTCAAGATGCAGTTTAGCTCGTGAGCTTGCCGTTAATGGCTGTTCATACGTACACACCACTTAAAAAGAGTAAAAAAAAAAAAAAAACCCCCTCTTCATTTTTAAAAGAAAAAAAAAAAAAAAAAAAGAAGAAAAAAGAACAACAACAAAGTTAGCCTGTTGCTGCTAATAAATAATATATTGTCGCAGGTGTGTCGGCTATGATACGCACATTGTCCAGTTGTAAAGTGTGCTATGAAGTTTATCGTGCATTCATTCCCCTTCTCTTACAAGGATCGTGCAATTCTTTATTGACAATCATTAAAATATTCATTTAATAAAGCAAGTGTAAGACCGTAGGGGATGAGCGAACATATATCACTTTTGTCATCTCGTTTATTTCATCCTTAACTAGCAGACACCAGAGATGATTAACTTAAGATTTTTTACTCCTCTCTATCCGTGTGCCGTTGCAATGCTTAAAATGAAACTTTAAAAGCTTGGAATACGAAATTTGAGACTTAACGCTTATGTTTCGTGGGGACGATTTCTTCTCAAACTTTAGCCACAGTAATTAAATAAAATTATACAAATCCCTTCAGCATTGGCGTAATGTTGTTTGGTGGTCTACATAGATAAAATAGTACTTTAACGGAGCCACACGCGTTCCCATTCACTCGTCCTAGAGTTACCTACACGCAGCACAACACACATCGCGACTAGTCATTCGCAGAAGTACAAAATTTTACGTTATGATGAATATCTACGTCAATGATCCGCCATCCATCTTTGTCGGATTTCCTTATATTTACCATAATAATATTTCTGTCATGTTTTCTCAAATCATCTCATTAAACCCTAATTTCATACCCATACTCTGTGCAACGCAATTTAAATGCGCATTTTCCAAAGAGGTCGCAAGAGTTACTAAGTTAACACGATACTACCCGCCTTTGGAGCAATTTACCTTCCAACGTATCTGACGTCTTCATTTTCAAGTCGAACGCTGACAAACTCTCTGCACTCCTCTCTTCCTATCACCACCGTACCGGCACATATAGGGGGCATTCCTCTAGTGACCGGTTATAGACAAAAGAAATATCAACGGAATGAATTTCTTTTATTATATGTAGTTGATTTGAAATTAAAATTGTTTTATAAAGGGGAGGAGGTCGAATATTGGGAGCAGATCTTGAAGACCTGTAGAAAAAAAGAATGCACAAAACGAGAGTTATAACTTGAGATATTATATATGATAATCAACGCAATCTACATAACATACAGCCAAAACTGTTTTATTCCCTCGATGAGACAACAAAGTATCAATTTTTTCATAAATAGACAGGAATTGCCTTACGACGCAACTCTCTTCTTCTTATTTTTCTCATATTTAATTTTATGAAACTAATCTAAAAATCTTTTGCATTTATAACATTGCCATCCACAACTGACAAACAAGCATCTGTTATTTTATTTATTACTTTTCAAATCGTATTGTTCCGTTTATTTTTATATTTCCCTTAAAAAAAAAAAGTCTTTTTTTGTAAATATTCCTTATTTACAATTTTTTGCGGTCAATATATTGCTTTACAAGGAATATTATTTGCATAAACTTTATCATGCGCGTGCCTGTCTGCAAAAGAAATAACAATAACAACAACAATAACAATAACTGCAATTTATATCATGACATATAAAAATCCAAACGAAAACAACATGTGGTCAAGCAAGTAGCATATGTTTTACATTCGCAAATGAAAGACATTCGCAGAAGAAAGAAAGGGAGAGGGTTAGAGTAAACATCTCATTTTCCACACATTTGTTGATATGTGTTGAAAAAAGAAATGTGCAAAAAAAAATTTATTTTAAATTTATTTACATTTTCTTTTACGATGACATTTTCTTTATGGAAGACTTAAAAACCAAAATAAAGTGCATTTCCATTTTCATGTGTATGTATAGCAAATATCATAGATAAAAAATAACATAAAGCTTAGCGTTTACACAAACCGACATATTACACAGATATATTTTAAAATATAAGTCTCTCTCTCTCTCTCTCTCTATCTCTCACGTTTCTCTTTTAAGAACAATGCTTTCTCTATCTATTATCGATTTTATTATTATTTATCTATACGCATTGTAGTATCAATAAAGCAAATCTATGTTTGATTAGAAAACTGCACTTACGTACTCATAAAACGAGAAAGGGATAGACCCATATAAAGTGAAGTGTGGAGAAAATTTTTTTATTTTTAAAAAATTCATCATGTCTTGTTGTAGCCTACACGACTGGTGGTACAAAGGTATATTGATATAAAGCAACGTTCAGATGGTCTTGAGACAGCTTTTATTATACCGATTCGGAATCACCTTCTAAATCGATCTAAGCTTGTCTGACCGTCGGTTCATATTGCACCGTTATATTGGTTTGTTTAACCTACAGGTCGCAATTATTGAGAAATTATGTCTTAGCCCTACGACAAATGATATTGAAAATAATTCAAAACAGACCACTTTGACCACAAACTTCCATGTAAGGCATTATTTTCAAAAGCTATTATGTGAATAATTGTGTTAGCGAAGTGACGTATGATATATCATATGATATTGAGCCCTCGCCCACTATTGGGTTTTTACTTTTCGTTTAGTTTTGAATTCATGAATTAGGAAAAGATAAACTTGGTCCCCTTACGCACCGTTAGAAACAGTTGCAGATTGAAACATGGTTAACACTTAAACTCTGCATTTTGTTTTCTTAGCATCGAAAATGTCAACAAAAATTTGACAAGAGCTTATCCCACCTATCTTGCCCTTATCTTATCTTATAATAAGCCAAACAGCTGTTATTGCAGATGACATATTTATTCAATAAAATTATTTTTTTAAATAAATTCTGTATATACAAGAAGTTTACGAGCACTTGCACGCAAATAAACATATGGCAGGAACATTGTGGTAACTAAACACTTGCTGTACTTCATCTACTGTAGAATGTTGAAAACCATATGTTCTTTAAAGGTGTTGCCATATACAAATACATAAGTGTCAAAGTGAACACGAAATGCATTAACGATAGTTAACCTAGAGTTTAAAACTCCTAACTAGATCTCTTCAGAAAAGTTCAAAATATCATTTAATTATATTCTCTCTTTAAATTATAGAAAGTTAGTTAATAATATTAAAAGTTAGTCAGTTAAGCTACAAAATTTTCTTAAGTTGTTCGATTATTATTCGATAAAAAGTTATCCAACCAAACATCGATGACAGGTAGATTTTCATCGCTCCACTTTACCTCCTCCTTAATATTTTTCAATGAGCTCTCAATGATGTGTGTAGCACTACCAAATTCCCCCTTATGCTGATTATAAAGCGTTTTAACTTGTTCGTAACCTTTGCTGGTTTTAAATGATCCCGTTGCCTCAGTAATCAAACTATCCCATAAATTTGTTTTATTCTCGAATTTTCGTCTAACGTCTGACCAATTATCATATAAAAAATTGTACAATGTTTCATAACCAACACTTCCTCCAGATAGCATATTAAAAATAAGTAAGATATCGTTATCAGTGAAATTTCCATTTCCCTCTAAAATGGTGACGTTTAGTAAACGAATAATTTTATACGGTTGCACTGGGCAACCTGCCAAAGTCTTCAATAAATAGGTGCGTTCGCTTCGAGTACGATTCTTAGGGAACGTAATTACACGCTCTAAACCGAATTCCCATTCCTCGATGGTTCCCCATTTGAAAACAATGCAAATATAATTATTCGGTAATATAATATCCATATCGGGATTTGCACTCTCTATCCATAATTTGTAATTTTGACGAGCTTCTTCCACAAAAGGCTTGTAACCAGCGTGACTTAAAGATCGATGAGCGAGTGATTTCAATTCGCTCTGCCAGGTATTGCTGTCAAAGTTACGAAGTTCTTCATAGAGTGGAGTAAGTATCGCCTGGACATACATATCGAACTTTTTATGCACATCGGACATTTCTATATGTCTACCGATATGATCAATCATAATAAAAAATGGTCTCCAAACGATGGGATTTCTTTCATATTTCATAAAGAGAGTGATATTAAGAGCTGTAGCAAAATTTAAATCGCCAGCATAAGCCAAATTCCAAGCGTCATGTAAAAGTTTTGCCCGCGTATATGTAGGTATACGAGAACGACCCTCATCGGTTAGCAAAAACGACAATAATAGATTCCAGTTTTTGCGATCATAATTAACGGGAAATGGTCCAATTTCTTGTGGATTTACTATGATAAACTTATTTTCCGTCCAGCTATTGGGTACAAGAATTTCACGCACTTCCTTCATCCAAATTTTCGGTTTAGTTAAACTAAAATTTAAATTATCCTGACTAATCATCACTATCGGTATCCACCAAAGCATTAAATGTTGTTCCGGGACATCGTGTGGCCTTTCCCTTAAGTATAATTTTTGTGAAATCTTAACATTATTCTTATCCCATATGGTATCAACAGTTATCATTGGTAAACGATCTTTTGCTATCCAGGATGTGGCGATTTCAGCGACACTATATTCAGAAGTTAACATTCCGTCCAGTATAGCCTGATTTGTTATGGTGTCCCAAAGATCATTACTAACATAGGCTTTATATTGATAAGTAGCGACAAATTTTCGAATGGCTGCTTGAAATGTACTTTCACTCAGAGTATAATTCAACATTCGTAGAATCATTTCAGTCTTCTGTGATGCCATCTGCTGTTTTAAGCCAGTTATCCTAGAGTGCGGATATCTTTTACTGAATTCATAATATAACGAATATAATAAAGTCATAGGATATTTAGCTTTATATTCTTGATCGTTATCAAGTTTTAGAGTAACAGTTGTACTAAGGAAGCCAACCAAAGCGCTATTAATATGGGAGACATTCCACCAATCCGGGGTGATCCATGATCCCAGCCATTGATAAGCTAATTCGTGCGTTAAAAAATAATAACTTGGTTTATTCAATAAATCTCTCTCTTTGAACATCAAAAGTCCCCAACAATCGGCTGGACGAAGAGAGCCAAGTTCCGGTATAGCTAGTACATCAATTTTTTTTAACGGCAACGACATATTAAAGTAATCAATTAGAAGGGGATAAATTTCGTTTAGTTTCGCATAAATTTCTTTTATTTCTGCAAGTACTTCGTGACGGGCCCACAAACTGATTTCCAATTGTAATCCCATATCTGTAAGCTTTTCTTGTTCTGATTTAAACTTATTTAGCTGCGAAATTACAAAACCGAATGTGAAAGTTGACATAGGTGGTGTCGTTTCAAAATAATCTATTACGTAAGATGATTCAGACGATGAATTAAGACTTTCAGTTCTCACGAGAGGAGTATTAAAAAGCGTTGTATACGTTTTGGGACGAGCTATCGATACGGTAAAAGGTACTTTAAAACCGGGCTCATCAAAGCAAGGAAAAAGTCTGCGAGCATTGTTCGGATTCATCGAAGTGGCCAGATAATGCTTCTTCTCTTCGTTATTTATGCCATCTGTATAGGATCCTTTAAAAAGCCCTTCAGTACTTTGCCAAATGTTGCCGTCGAAATCGATTTTCAATATGCATTGAGAACACTCTTGGACGGTGCTTTTTAAATAAATAATATATATCGTTTTTCTTAGCATTCTATCACCCCGAAGTATTGGTATTGCTTCTTCTACGGAATCCTTGTTAAGTTTCAAGAGAGTTAACGTTCTCTCGTTCAGATTGAGATCATAGTGGGCATGAAGCGAAATTTTTTTAATCGCTTGAGTCCAACTTATATTTATCTTAATCGTGCCGGTAAATGAATCCTTTTCCATTATCGGATGAAGATGTATTTCATATCCTGTGGGTACAACTTCCGTTGAAAGTCGTACATCAGATATTAATGCATGCGAGGCGGATAAATCTACACTTCGCTTATTTACTGCTTTCAACGCGACAGTATATAGCAGTATTATTTGTAAAGCAATAAAATAAATTTCCGAACAAAACATAATTGTAACGTTTAGATAGCAAACCGATTAGTAAGAAAAACTCGTACATGGATTTTTCACTTTTCAAAATTGTCTTACTTCTTAGGATAATCATCTGCCAAGAAGAATATTTTATTATTTATTTTAAATCCCGTTATGATGACTGCATCGAACTGAAACTCAAATTGAACTAATACGTTCTAAGAAGAATTAAGTGATAACTATAATTTGTTCCATGCCATCGCCTTAATTGATTATCCTATTGTTCCCGAATTTATCAAATAAATTCAATTTACTTATATAAAATTTTTTACGTCTTTTATATCTTTCGCTAATTTTACACATCATTCATGACAAAATAATTCTCGTCGCTATTTTTTGAAACGTAGTAGAATTTGGTGTACAAATCGTATACAAACATGGTTAGGGAGAAACAAATACAGAAAGAGCGATAACAGACAGCTGCTGCCTAACTCCAACACCTCTATTTTTTACACGATAGATGCTTGCCTTAGAAATCTGGCCAAAAAAGTAGGGTAAAAAATATATGAAGTGAATATGAATTTGTGGATATGTTCCACAACTTGACAAAAACGAGTAAGATGAAAAAGCTCCGAACTTTTTGCCAGAAAACAGTGCAAAAAAACCGTGTAAAAAAATATATGCAACTTACCGCAAATTTAGGAACTTGAAAATCGTATAAGGTGAAAAATCTGCCTAACACACATGTGGGCATAAACCGACTGACTGCTCACATTATCACAACATCCGCTCAATTATATTTGTCATTGTATACATGAGTTTCTGTAAGAAACTGTCAGAATTATAATTTATAAAAACTCGTGTAAAAAAAGTGTATTTGCTCTCGTTGGTGAACCGTTTTATTTCAAAATCTTGTAAAAGAAAGACTTATGTGTACACCTGGTCAACCGTATTTAAACTTATGGTCTATCGCATTGGAAATTGAACCGCGAAACGAGCTAATCACACTTCTTATCTTTATTAGGCTCTGCGGCAATTACTTGGAGTTAAATAAGAAATAAACAAATATTCAATACACCAATGGTTTTTGTTGAAATGATGTGTCCCGGCGGATCCATATAAGACCGGGCTATATTGGTGCAATAATAAATAGTCTGTAGAACCGCCTTCAACGCAATAATGCTCTAAAGAAAGGACATAAGAAACATTAAGAGTTATCAGAGCTTTCGCGAAACCTCTGGTTAGTTAAGTGGTGCCGTTGAAGCCGTAATGACGACAGACAAAGTTTGACGTACAATTTTTGAAAGGAGTTAAAACCTAATACCAATCCATTGTTATGATGCAAGGCAGTTGCAATACTTGCAAATGTTTCCAAAACGGTTCAAAACGCTGCAGCGTATTTGAAGACGTGAAGACATTTAGCTGACTGGTTTCGCAGCATTCGGCCGTCTCACGATGCGTCTCAATATGTTCCAAGCTCGTCTCAAACTTATGAACAACGCTCCGATAGTTATGTAACTTGCACTTGAAACTTGCACATTACAATGACTAACTGACTCACTGACTGACTAAGTTGCAAAGAAAATATCTACCCTATACCCTAAGAATTATTTCAATAATCAGACAAGAATTATTTGACAAATAGCACGAAGAGAGTTAACTTCTAAAGAACTTGCCAAGTCTACAATTTTGATGTTGAAGGTGGGTTTTATTACAGAAAGAGTAAATTACATAAATTATTTATATTATTAAAAAAGATTACATGTTGGACTAATTCTGTATCATTATAAATACAAAAATAAAGACTTTTAGAGAACTCATACAATGTATGTGATATTACATAGCGAAGGAAAATCTACAAATAAAAGTCTCTGATTAAAAAGTATGAAAAGATTTGAAAAACGCACAGTCGGACATCAACTTCGTTTAGACGGCATGCATGTCTGAATTTATGTTTTTTCTTACAGGCTGGACGGCAGGCAGAAATAACCAGTCGTAGTACTTCTATTCCAAAAAAATGATATCAAGATATCAAAAAAAGCTACACAAAATCATTTTCCTTGCATGCCAATAATTCTACAGCTTGCTATGAACTATAGAATCAACGGGGTTCAGGTTGCTCGATCACAAAGTCACGAGTATCCTGCTTCAGCGGGTGACAGCATTGGTTGAACTACAGATCGGTGCTTGCCAAGATCTTTCGGGGAGGGACGCTTGTATATTGATATACCATGTGGAAATTTCGTTGTAAGATGGTATGTCCAATTACTTTTTGAGCGCAGCAGATTAAAAAATGTGTGAGGCCTGATCGCTTGGCTGCCGCGCTCCTGGAAGTACTCATGGTGGGTGTGGTTATCCCCAAAAGCGGGGGCATTAAATAATAAGAGGTGCTTGATAGGCCTCCCTGTGTTCAGAGGGAAAGGTTTGGACCATGGCCGAAGTTTCAATCTGGGACCCAAAACCGGTTCCCGATAGCACGGAATTGCGAAAAGTTGTCCCCTGCGGTTCGCTTCTCAGATCCGAGTCCTTATAATTTCCTCTCCATTTCTTGCATCGACTTTATAAGCAACAGGAGCACAGACTTGTTAAGCAGCACTTAGGCGCGTACGAAGATGCAGAAAAAAAGTTTCGATGAGTGATTCAGGTCAAAAGAGGAAGATTTTTAACACCATGGTATTCCTAAATCGCTAAAAAGTAGCAAAGAAATGTGTGTACAAACTGCGATGAGACAAAACATCCGCATGTTCGTATTCTTGTCTAGACTAATAAGTGAAGGGTTTAAATAGTAAGGAAACAAAACATTTGCATTTTTGTACTCTTGTTTAGACCTATATGTAAAGAAGAACTTGCAGTGGATAGCTTTCAAATATAGTGAATTTTGCGTAGGTTTCCATATTAGCGATTGATAATGATTTGCTACTTGTCTAGCACTATACGATATTTATTTCATTTTTGCGATCAGACATATATTTACATTGAAATACATGACGTATGATGTAATAATCACTATTTTCTCGCTTTAACATTAGCTATTATTAATAGTGAGTGCGAAAATATTCGCTTCGAAACGAGTGTAACCTCCGTTTTCTTAATTTTTTCCTTTTTAGCTGTAAACACAGGGTTGTTAGATACTGATATTGATATTAATTCGCTTTTATGAGAATTATTCATTCAACTACAAGATTCCTTAAATCTTTATAAAGTAATTCTGTTTTTTTTTTTTTTTTTTTTGACATCGCATATTTTGTCCATACAGAAAATGCAATAAATTTAATTAGAAAACGAAAAGTTTAAAGCAAATACTTTTTAAGTACTTTGTATACTTGACCTTGTCGCTAAGTTTTATTGTGGCCATCATCATGTAAAAATATGTAAAAAAAAAAAAATAAAAAAAAGTGCGAATAGCTGTGTGCAACCAATACAAATAATTTAACAAATTTATTCAAATGTCTATGTGTGTGTTGTATATATTTGTGCATTTTGCTATGGAATATTATTGTGCGATTTGCGTGACCATGAATAAATTGCACAATAGCACCAATAACAAAAAATAAATAAAATGTTAAATAATATTCAAATAGTATGAGAAAAAGACAAAAATAGACAAGAGTGACAGAGAGAACAATAAAAACAATGCAAAGCGAAAATATATGTATAAAAGTTAATTAGAAAACGTGTGTCATAATAATAAGCAAAAGCAATACGGTGACAAAGGAAGATTGAAATTCCGCGCTAAAATCTATAGACTAAAGCAATAACGTCACTATTAAGCAAATGAAATAAAAATTTAAAACAAAAAAGTAAAATAAAATTAAAAAAAAGAGAAAATCTTGAATAAAGTGTAAAGTGATATGCATGATAACTGAATTTTTATTTCATTTTTACTGCAATTGAATATATGGCACAAAAATATAAAAAGAACCATACATATATATATATATAAAGAGACGTGTGTGTATGCGTAACTTGTGAAACGGCAGCGACAATTACATAAAATATTGCGTACATGTGCAAATATTTGTTATGTATATGGCCGGCCGATACGACGTGAATTGAAAAGTGTACGGATGGCAACATAAAACAGCGAGAGAACTTCACGGATCGCATTAGATATACAAATAAATTTACTCCGTTTGGAATTGTTCCCGATATTTCATATTTAGATAACTTTCATATTGATATTGTTTAAACAGAGTAAGCTGCTGTTGTTGTTTACAATTTATCGTTCAGCGTATATGAAAGCTCAAAGCGACGGATGTCAATCAGAACACTGACATTTTCTGTATTTTTAACTGAGTTAACCTCAGCAGCTAAAGCTATGAAAAGGATTAAGTTAACTTGTAATGAAAGCACCGTAAGCTACGAAGCGATTAGAAAGTTTCGTGCCAAAAATTTTTGTCTTGAAAGCGATGAAATTCGCATACGTCCTTCTTACGGTTTCCAGCGCATGAAACCAAGGAAATACCTTAGTCATAAGGCGGGAAAATTTTGTCGCGCCCCGCATATTATGTAGACCTTATTCAGATCAATGCAATCACATTTACTAGGTCAGTAGTTCAAAGAAGTTTTATATATGCGTAAATGGGTCTATGGCAACGGCATCCATTAGCTACCCAACAAATGGCAGAACGCCACACATAACCATGGTGCATATTTTGCTTGTTAAACTTTGTAACAAGTATATTTTAAATACAGTTGTATGCATTTGCATACCTATAAGTTTGAACCCACATAACTTCCAACTGTGAATTCATTTGCGAAAAGAAAAAGGTGGACATTATTGATTAATCTTTTCTCGATAATACCAACGATATGGGTATCAAATGAAAGAACTTGGAGAATAGAATACGAAAAGCGTAGTAGTGGGTGTGCAAAATTTGGCCCCCGCCGAATACAACGTTCTTACTTGTTTTTTTTTTTTTTTTTTTGAAATTTTACATTTTATGACTGGCATTTTGCTTGTTATGTGAACGTTTTTTCACAATATTGTCAGAATGTTTCATATTATCGAGGACATGATTGTTTTTAACAAACTGTTTTTCTGTATGCCCAGTTAGTAGTAGTAGTAGTAGTAGTAGTAGTAGAAGGGAAATTTGACAGTAAAATATAGTTCTCAGGTATGACTGAATCACTTCAAAACAGATTTAATACTTAATTGAAGTATAACTGAGTATCAGGGAATTGATTTCGTCTCAACTGAAATTTTATATACATAAATTTAACATTGAGTTAAACGTCTCCAAGCGTATGAGTGTTTTTAACAGCTGCTTTCTTTTATATGGGTATGATTTAGGCATCAGTTGAAGTGTGAATGAATGACTGAAAATAGATTGATAGATAACTGAGTACCGCGGAATAGATTTGGCGTTAACTGAAATTTATATACATATATCGTCATCTAACTTTGAGTTTAACTTTAACAAGCACAAGCATAGCATTCTCTTTAACAACTGTTTTCTTTTATATATCTGCCTGTTAGTGGGTTAGTAAAGGAACTTTTCCAGCAAAGTTTAGGTATCAGTTAGAGTAAATGTCGTGAAATAGATTTGATTTAAACTGAACGATAAATTTATCTATTTGTTCAATTTCTATTGAAACAATACAGCGGATGAGATAACTGTATGTCTTTCGAAGCTTGCTTTCTCTGAAAGAGCTAAACAGTTGCCCACGTTTTTCTTCTTACCGATCTTATTAGGCGAAATATGAAAATTTGCTGGCAATATTGCTTTATAGAGCTAATCGACCGTGCTATAAGTGACTTCATACAACCAAATTGCAAAGCGTTTTGTTGTTCTTATACATCGCGTGACTTAACAACCTTGTTTTATAACAAAATTGATATTGGACTGTTTTATTGTAATTAGTCCCACGGAAATGATACAAAGTAAAAAAAAAAAAAAATATAACTATAAGCAGAAAACACATATTTTTGCATTTATAACTTGTGACCGGTCACAATGCCATCGCCGTAGAGTTCAATTCTAGTTCTCTTAGTCCTCATATCTTACTTCGTCTACCAGCAATTGCCAAACTGTTACCATACGAAATGCAGATTTTGAGAGATTTTTGAATAAATCGTATTCGGTAGATACTTGCCCTGCTTAATACGAAGCGCAGTGATGCTGTTGATGGTTGCTTTAGAATATTGACGGCACAAATAGCGATTGCCTGCAAGCTAAGCAAAACAATGACATTGGACATGAAACCGAACATCTATGACGATAATGTGTGCCATTTAAAGGAATGAACTACGCTTATTATGTTACAAATTGATCCGACCCATCGAAAGTATCGTTAGGAAAACACATTAATGGCAACTTAATGCATTTACCCCGAGACATGCCGCGTGGGAAAAGGCTACGTGCTACTATGTAGCGATTTGTGTCAGCTTGAGGGCCTTCGATCCCGAAAAACAAGTTCCCGGCTACGGTATCTCCTTCCTGAGATGTAAACACTTTTTTTATTACCTGAATCACCATCAACCCGATTTCTGGATGCACTACATGAGGGCTTGCTCCGTTTTTCATTTACCTCTTGTCAAGCTTTAGAGCAATTCTAAACCATAAATATATATATATATATATCATCGGCCAGAAATTACTTGAAAATAGCTTCTTTAGATTCCCTAAGGTTATAAAGAGACACTTCCCTCCCCACTTACAAATAATAAACCTAAGAGACGAGACTAAACGAAATGAAAAATGTTGTCAGTTCGGTGAAGTTTTCGTTTGCTGACAAAGTTTTGAGCTCTCTATCATATTTAAAAACGCAACCAACTGCCAACTAACTAACTGTAGTTTGCATACATTGTTGTGCTAATTATTATTTGCATTGTTTCATGTGCGTATTTTTATACATGTTTATTTTTGCTTGCAAATCCATAGTGATGCAACATACACATTTGTATATGAGTTTATGGCTTTTCATGATCCATATATGTGTACGGTTCTCTTTTCTTTTTTTTTTTTTGTTTTTCCTCTTATTATTATTATTATTATTATTATTTCTACTTAAGCTCCCTGCGCTTAGCCTATTTCTAATGTAGAATGTTGCGTAGTATTTGTGTTTCTCTCTCTCGAATTTTTCTTCTTTTTTTTTTTTTTGTTTGCTACTACTTTTAACGACCTTGACACAAAATTGTCTTTCAAAGCTAAAAGCAAAAATGTGTATTAAGAACTTTTAAAACAAACAAAAGCTTATAAAGTAAATTATTTTTTGTGAGAAAAAAAAAAAAAAACAAATATTTTTTCTTTACTTTGTCAGTTCAATCGGTATAATTTCTCTAAAATAATATTTTTTTGAGAATACACACGCACACACACACACACCCATAGATATTTCATCATCGTCAAGATGACATCTATTTAATACAGCAGCGGGGCGGATGTATGTAAAATAGAAAAGTTAAACGCACTTAAATATTATTTAGTACAGTAGAAGCTCTAAGCGGAGTATATGTTCTATAAATATGCCGCGATTACAAAAGCCGTGAATACGGAATGGTAATTTATATGGGATTATAAGGGGATATGATCCTAGGTGACAAAATAAAAAAAATCAATTTAATTTTGAACATTTTGATTAATTAATCTTAAGGCTTATGTAATGGTTTGAAGAATTTTGTAAGTTTCTCTTGCTTGGCAGTTTTTAAAAGCTCCTTCAATTCAGACTGATATGCAGCAGTCGCATTACCAATTTGCCTCTTAAAAATAAGACTTTGTTCCATAGACGGATCAATGTTCATAAAGAAATCGCGTAGCTCATTTGTCATTCTTAAACCTTCACTAAGACTTTTTAGATCAAGTGTCACGTCTTCAGTGCTTGTGTAAGCCTCTTCTTCAATCGGACGTGACTTTAACATTTCCTCTAAGTCGGTTTCAGTCAAATCTTCATCTTACGCTTCAAGCAATTCCTGAAAGTCACATGATTCTATCTGTTCGAACCCATCTCGTGCTATTCCATTCGCGATTTCCGCTACGCTTGCAGTCAAAGTTTGAACTTGCACAGATTCTTTGTCATTTCCCGCAGTCAGAGCAGGCCACAGTTTTTTCCAACATGACTTCAATGTGTGCAGCTTCAGTTCTTCCAATGATTCTTTTATGTTTACGATGCATTTTGCTATGTCAAATTTCTTACTGCATTCCATAACATTCATATCAGGAAAAACAAAACAATTCCGGAACCAGTCATAAAAAATTCGCGAATAAAGAAATTTATAGCCGCGAATATGGGATAGGAATTGGGTCGCCAACAAAATTTGCAAAAAGAGTTTAAAAATGACTTAAACTATTCAGAGGGTACGTCTAGAGCGCCCAAACGCCTCTGTGGGAAAAACTGTGAACAGCTCGTTAGAATATATATATGCTATATAAATTTTTATTCTGAAGTAAAAAATCGGCCACGCCCAACCATTGCTATGGAAGATAAAAATATAGTTTTTTTCCTCTTTTTTTTTTTAAAATCATTTTTAGACTAACGGTGATGATTATAAAAGATAGATTCGGTCACGAACAAGTATAATTTTCCTAGTTGTCAGGTGTGTTGACGCATACCGCGAAAGATACATATGCAATGAAATCCACTTCGAACCTTCGTAGCTAGGTAACGTGTTAATGTCATATATTTTTGTCTTTAGAAGTTTTAAAGAATTTTATCTTATGAGATCTGTTTCTTTTTTCTTATTTATGTATTTTTTTTTTTCCCAATGAAACAATTTTTTACTTCCGGCATTAATGCACGCACACACACGCACATATATATATACATATATAAGTTCTTAGGAAAGATAAGAAAAAAGTTATGGTTTGCTAACGATAGGGAAACAAAAACAACAAAAAAAAAAAAACCTCTTAAATAATCACTTATCCTCAACGTTTTTAATCTTGAAATATTTTTTTCTACTAACTATTAAAGCAAGAAAAAAAAAGAAAAGAAAAACAAAAAACCTTCACATTTGTTTTCTTTGAAAGCACAAACCACCTGCGCTCAACGAACAGTAATAATAAAAATGTAAATAAAAAATATTTTGTAATTTACGTTAATAGTTAAAAGCGAATTACTCTCACACCAGATAGATGGATAGTATTATAGCATGTTATTTACAATATTAATAAAAATGAATCATTTAGTAATTCTAAATTAAGCGAAGGGATTTTCTACAGAGATTATTCGGATTATTTTTTTTTCATAATAGCTTTAAATATTTTCCCATCATATACTTAGTCAGATATTTTTTTTTTTTTTCAATGAATAAACTTTGAAATTTTACCATAAAAAATATTTCTGTTTTTTTCCCCTTCATTTTATGCGAACTTTTTTTATAAGGGAAATTTTGGTTATAATTAGCTACATTCACTGTAGAGACCTTAAT